TAAAAAAATGTTTTAAATTTATTCATGGTAATATATAAAAATTAAAAAGTTATAACAAATAGTATTCCCGAATATGTTTATACTTACGCAAAAAATTCTGATTTGCTAGTTTTGTTTTCTCTGCGTTTCAACTCATTCTGAATTGAATGAATCCAAATTTAAAAAAAAGCATGTGTGCCTGTACATGTGAGCCGATTTTTGGTCTTTCATCGACGATTTCTCAAAAACGGCTGGACCGATTTCAAAAATTTAGAAACCGTTCGATGTAAATCGATAAGAACTAGCGTTGGTCAATTTTGCGCGACGTTTGATCAAGCCGTTTCTTTATATTTAGCAGAAAAGTGTAAAAAATTTCGTCCACGTTTTAGTCCCCAATTTTGAATCGATTTTAAAATTTCAAAAACTGTTCGGAAGATATTGACTGGGAATCATGTTGATTATGTTCTGATAAAAATTAGCCGAGCCGTTTCTTCGTAATTAAATGCTGAAAAAAAAAACTTTCTTGGCGATATTGAATAAACTTGGTTAACGAAAGATTTTGCAGTTTAAAATAACATACTAAAATGGGTACATTGCAGCACTCGCATATTTCACCTCTCTCAATTTTTTAACGGTACCTGCACTTTTATTATGCTACCATAACGATGGTAGCATGCTCGACTCGCATGAAAAAAATATCGAGATCGAAAATATTAAAATTATATATTACTAAAAAAAAAAATATAAATAACATCAAATATTGTTGCACTCACCATCTGTGCATTTGAGTCCATAATTATTTTTCCACAATAACACTTTATGTTATATCTGATTGTCTGCTAATGGAACTAAAATTGAAGACTATGCCAATTACAATTAGGACTAATTTAGCTATAAATAAAAATAACATTAATAAAAGATGCTTGATATTTCATATTATACTTTTTTAATTTGCAAACAGCCTGGAACCTGCTGTATAAAATCATCAATAATATATAATTTTAAGCATAAATAAATTACCTGCACATAAACTATATATGTAATATCAAAAATTTTATGCAATAATTTGTTATTGCAGTGCACATGATGGTTATTTAATGATTATATTTGCTGATTATCATTAATAATAATTCTAAGTATAATACGCAGTTTTAATAAATATTTAGAATGTTACCAATTGTCATTTGTGGCATACATAAAATTCTGCATTTATATGATTATTATATATGAATATTAGTTTCATTGACTTGATCAAATATTACACCTCAATCTAAAAATTTGAAGTTGACTTAGTGCCATTTCATATCATGGCAAGTAATATATTAACACAATTCAGTAATACCCTATACAATTTTACAAAATCAAAATTCAATAGAACTTTGAATAAGACTAATTGATTCAAAACAGTATTCACAAAATTGTTTTGTATCAATATTTAAATATATACTTAAATCTATACCCAAGAATCACTTCTGTGACCATCAGAATTTTCTACATTTTGATGAATAGGTGGCTCCCAAGTACCAGAACTTGTCATTTGACGGTTCTTCTTTCTCTCACGGTTGACTTGTGCATATAGTGGTTCATTTGATGAAGCTGGAACCTGTAAGAAACAAATAAGGCAATGTCTTCAGAACTACAATAGAGTAGGCAGGGCCTCTCGCTTACACATATCAAATTTGTTTCCTATTTATTTTATGCCAACAAAAGAAACTAAAGGCCCCACATACCACCCAAGTAATACTGACACATTACCTTACCTGTAATCAACTCTTGTTCTCACAGTACTGATAGTTCATATTATTTTTTATTATCTCAAAATTATTTATTTTGCAATTTTTGCTGTAAGATCAATTATTAACAACATATGTATACACAACTATATATAAACATATATATAGCACCAAATTCACTGTTCCATCAATTTGATTTATGCTATGCTTTAGCCAATAAATTTTCATTGCTACAATATTAACAATATTTAGAGCTATTAATAATGCGTGTCAGTGAAATCTCTACATACGTACACAAATTTACTATATAAACTTTCATATTGCTTAGCATTCAGCAAATTGTACCCGAAAAAAACAAAACAAAGTAAGTTTAAACAAAATAATCAATTGCATACATAGGTTCTATGTGGGGTGTCTTTAGAATACCTCTGCAACATAACACAAAAGGAAACATACACATATACATATATATGCGATGAGTTTATTTCAATATATAAGATTACAAATGATAAAACGATATATCCTAATTATCAAATATTACTTAAGACTATGGTTTGCAATAAATTATGCTATTTAAATATCATATTCAAATATATAAATATCTATAAAGTTATGTCATTGAAATGAAATGCGCGGGGAAGCAACGTACTACAAATAATAGCGGGTTTAGACAACATATTAATGCAACTCTTGTATGCAAGCACATACATATTTTTTAGGAATCCGGCATATATATACATACATACATATATATATATATATATATATATATATATATATATATAATAAAGTTGTACTTGGGCAATCTAATTAGTTGGATGGATGACCAAGAACAAATTTATCATAATATTTCACCATCTGAAAAACCCTCTTGCTTTACACACACATATACATATATATATATATATATATATATATATATATATATATATATATAAACATCAATATGTAGAAACATATGTATACATATGTACATGTATATTACGGTGGCCTTCAAGATGGGTATTTTCGAATGTTCTTGCTCCCAGGGGCTCAAATCCTTCCAAATTGATAAAAAAAATTCCCTGAAAGTTTTAGCTCTTAACATTAACTTTAAGATAGTCTGCACTCAAAATAAAGTTAATGGGTTCTGCAATGTAAATAAATAGTTATTTTATAAAAAATATCAAATTTTTGTTGTTAATTTTTCATTTATGATTAAAATAAACAAATACAAAGTTATTCTCAAAATTTTGATTGACTTGTCGCAAAGTTATGAAATTCTAAAAAATAAATAAAATTTTACCCATGTTTTTTCCATAAAGAACTTTGGTTGGAGTGCGGACTATCTTAGAATTAATATTAAGAGCTAAAACTTTCTGAGATTTTTTTTTTCATCAACTTTTAAGCATTTGAGCCTTTGGAAGCAAAGAAATTCGAAAATATCCATATTAAGAACCACCCTAATGTATGTATGTTGTGCATTATTGCTTTACATTCATACATACATATCTTACATTCAAATAAACATACATACATACATATATCCATTTATTCTTACATACAAACATACATCCATTCATTCATATTATATATATATATATATATATATATATATATATATATATATATATATGTAAGCATATATTAATGCTCAGTATCTAACAATGTTTAGATTATTCAAACAATGACATAACAATGGAGTAATAATATGAGCTGCCCGTTTAAATTTAAAAATTGAAATAGTAAAAATTCATGAAAATACTTTCATACTTATTTCAAAAACATAATTCGTAAAATTTATCTTTTCAAAATTGCTTGATCTATATATTAAAAAAATAACCTATATATTTAATTTTCTAGATCATTTCATATTGAGTTAATGAAATTTAACCTACATTTTTCTTTTCAAAAAAATTAAAATTCCCCGGTAATTACATTGGATATTTGGTCAATAAAGATGGTTCAGATAATGGTTAAAAATAAACTAGAAAATCCATAATAATTGTATAACTTTACATTTATTCAGAATCCGAGGATTGGCAAAATAATGAAAACCCTGTATTTCCTCACACACAATATATAATGCCAAACCACTATGCATGTATGCAAGTATAATGTAGATATATATACATATGTGTATATATACATACATATATTGTATGTGTATGTTATGTGTATTTCGATGTAATATATGGATGATTCTATTGCATACTATCCTAGCAACCATAAAAAATAAATATAAATGACTGATTCCACCCTTTTTGTTCATAAAGTATTGCTTTAAATTGTTTTAATTTTGACATAGTAATTGCTCAACAAGCATATTTATTATTTTCTCGTATAATATTGACAAGTTACATTAACAATAGTGGAAAAATTTAACTACTTTAAACTAACTCTACCCGATAGTTGCGGAGACAAAAATCTAACTATATTTCATTCATAATCAACAAAAAAAATAAATTTTCATATTACTGAATGTATAATATCTGGAATAAATATCAGTCTATTTATATACAAGGAGTATATGAAAATTTTGCCTAATATAATCATGATATTTTTTTTTTAACAAGTCACCAATAACTTTATGAAACAAAAATGGAACTGGTGCTATACTTTTGAATTAATTTATTTAAATCTTTAAAAATGTGAAATATATAAAATAAATAGATTTTTATCTAATGAGAAATATACCTAAAATTATTTTAACTAGATCAAAAATATCTTAATAGACCACTCTTCCCTAAAACAAGTGTTTCCCTTGAATTGTCCATTTCAAAACATAAGATTAATGACAATGCTCATTTTACTGGAATGTATAAAATAATTATATAAGATCCAAACAATTGCGAATCCACAATACACATCAATTTATTATCTATGTGTGTGTGTGTATATATATATATATATATATATATATATATATACATAGATACGTACACATTTGTGTGCATAGGTATGTAAAATTGTACACATAGCATCTTGAAATGTGAATGAAAAAGATTAGGTATAATACAATAAAATTACAATTCATCCAAATGAATATATAGTCCATCCAAAATTTTGTAATGACTTCAAATAAAAACTTTATTAAAATTATTAAATTTACAACAGATACATGTTTTTATATATCTGTATGCTAATATATTATAAATTTTATTAGTACCTCATACCTAAATCTACTAGAATATATTATATAATCAGTAATTGCATAAAAATCACAAGTAAATTATTAATAAATTATACCCATCACTTCTGATAAATTTATATTGTGGTAGCATATAAACCCATGCACATATTCACATATTTGAGTTTTAGTGACATTTTTAATGAAGTGCTTAGCTATAAACTCCTATAATATTCATCAATTTGCCACATTTAACTTTAAATCATTTTAATATCAATCTAAATGTTAAAGTTCTACCACTTAAGTAATATATTATTATGCACATTCACCTCGATAATAGTGGTATGTAGAGAAATAAATCACTATTTGAAGTGTAATACTATTATAATAATTCTGTGAATGATTAACGAACAATTATTAATGGCGATTGTGTGTAATTTAATGACTTACAGAAGGATTGTTGGTGGTAGCCCCAGGTGGGTAAATGCGTACTGCTCCTGCGGGAGACGCAGCGTTTGACGGCTGCTCCGCATAAGTTAAGTCCGACAAAGCGATGTCGTCGGCCTAAGACCGAAATATTTACATTTTCATTTGCTTTCTCTTTTAATTTCTAACAAATAATTTTTATCTACTGAAAATGCACCAATAATGAAATAGAACAATATGGGAAGTATTGTGACATGGTATTGTTGTAATGATACGTACGTTACGTACAAAAGGTAAACAATCAAATTATGAAGCCACATAATTAAATTGTGAAAAAAAAAAACGTTTTTTTGTGTGATGAATTTGTGCAGAATCATGACGCACATACAGTATCGAAACATACATAACATAGCAAAAACCGTATGTAACAATAGCATACTATATGTTGCTTTTTATTTCAACTATTTCGCTGCAAACAAACATTTCAAAAATATGTTTCAATGTCGAACAAAAAAAAACTGAATATATATATATATATATATATATATATATATATATGTGTGTGTGTGTGTGTGTGTGACTATGATAATATGTATCTAAGAATAAACATGATAAAAAATTAAATATTATTTACCCGCTGATAGAAAGGTCCTTGTGCTGCTTGTGTGGAGGACATAACAGAAGCCTGTGACACAGGATTTCGCACCGGTGCTGGATTTCGTTTTATTGTACGATCCTCATACCTCGTGCCACTCTGTGAAGCCATAGGCCTATTAAGAGTGCTATTGCCATTATTTGGAGAATTTGGACCAACATTACGTGCAGCAACTGTTTTTGTCACAAAATCTTGCTCTTTCCATCCATGTTTTTTATAAACATCCCTCAGTTCCTGATGCTGCCACATTGTGAACAGAACCTGACTTGCAAACTTCAAAACGCGTGGCGTATACTTTTGTCTTTGCCTAGTGATGTTCATTAGTCTCTCAACACCTCCGGCTTCCAACAAAGATCGAGAAAATTCAGCATTTTTCTTGATAACTTCATTAAGAGTAGCCAAAACAGCAGCGATGGTATCATCAGATGTACCTTGGTCATGCTGAGGATTATTTGAAGGAAGCTTTTGAATCAAATCACGCATAGCATATTTTCCAACCAATTCTTTATTCCGTTGATCTATTGCTAAATTTCTGAGTGCTGTAGCAACAGCGCATACGACGCGGTCTACTTCCATACGCAACAACTCGACAAGAATAGGTAAACCTTTTTCTTTTCGAACTGCTGCTCTAATATCGATACTGGGCTGCCAATAGCATGCTGCCAAATTTTGTAATGCGCCAGCTGCGGCTTCGAGTGTTTCTGGGTTAGAACAACTCTGAAGCAATGACAAATAAGACAGCACAACATCAGGTTGCCACAATATTTCATAGCCTTTTGCAATATGTTGCATTGATGATCGGCTGGTAGTACCACTGCTAACATTACTGCTATCTTTTTGGTCCATATTAAGTGAATCTTTCTTTTTCTTGCTTGCTCCAAAACATCCCAGATTATCACCTACAAAATAATATAATTTTAAAATAAGGATAAATGCGCTAAATTAAATGTAAATTATCCTTTACAATAGAAAATACCTTTTGGACTAGCTGCAACACGATTTTGAGTGGGCAAGGGATGCTTATCATAATTAGGATCTTCTACTTCCTGACATCGATATGATAAATTCCTCAATATACAAACACAGTTTTCAACTATTTTATTTCCAATATTTGATTTATCTATAGCAGATTTTACCACATATAATAGAGCGTCCACCAATCCTTCACATTCTCTTAATTTTGTTCTTGCATATTCACCTGCAGAACTAACATTTCTTAAGACACCAGATGCGTTTCGAAAAACTGTGGACCAACATGTTTCACCAGCGTTGTTGGCATCCCAGCCTGAATGCGGGATTATAATTTGTGTGACTATAACTCCAACACCGTCATCAATAATTGCACGTTTTAAATCTTCACATGAAGACATATTCCATATAACACCGGTAACTAATTCTTTGACCTCGGATTCATTTGTATTTTGTAATAATGTTATCAACGCCGGAATGCCACCGGCGTTCTTTATGGCCCGCTTATTTTCGTCGTTTTGCCTTCCATATGATAGATTTCTTAAAGCTCCACAAGCATTTCGAAAAACATCCGGACTTTCATGCCCCAATAGTTTTACTAGAGGCGGAATGCCGCCGAGTGACCGAGTCTTTTGCTTGTTAGGATCATCCATATAACATAAATGCTGCAGATAAGCAGCAGCGTTCGCTTTGATAACGTTATTTGGATTATTAAGAAAGCCAATTACTTCGGTGAGATTGGGATCGCGCCATCGCATCGCTCGCTGATCATCGGTCGTACTGCCGGGCGAGGCAACGTGAGTTAAGGGATGGTTTCGCATCGACATCACTGCAAGATGCTTTTGAAGTTCTTCTTCGTCTTCAAACGGTCTACCTGGCAGCATGACTGGCACGTTAAACGAATCTTCATACAGACCAGGTCTAGCATCATACGCAGGATTAATGCCGTACGGCGAAGGAGACACGTAACCGTAAACGACAGCTGGATCGTCGGAATATCGATCGACAACAGCACCAGGAGAAGGCGTCACACGGTAATGATCAGATAATTGACGAAGCGGATCCATTTCATCGTAGCCGGGAGAAATAAAAGCGGGCTGGGGAGGTTGTTGTATAGGTAAAGGAGAAGGTGATCCGCTGTGTTCGCTCGGGCTGGGAGGTGACGCTGTCCTCTCGCCGTATTCGCTATTGAACGAAGGACCGCATGCGTTTGCATAAGGAGTCGGAACATAATGACTCGGATAGGTGTCATACTCCTGGTAATGTTGATGACCAAGACTGTGACCGTGAGGGTGATACTGATCAAAATGCGGCGGTTGGTGGCTGTGCGATTGACGATCGATGTGGTTATAATTTAAATACTGATTTTGTGGATACAGTCCCAAAGGCATGGCCACGCAGTCTACTGACTGACTGTCGCCACCCAAATGCTGGACTTCGCGTATAACTTTTGTGACAGTTGTTACATGTTGTGTTGTTTGCTGTTTGTGAGTACGTGACACTAGTGCATCTTCGCTATGTACAGAATGATGGGAAGAATTTGGAGAATGCTCAGTGTGTCCATTGCTCTGTCCGTGATAGCCAGCTCCTGCACCTTCTGTTTGACTTGAGCCCCTTTGATAACAAAGAAAACAGACAATAAAAACAAATGTAGATAATTAAACAATTATACAAATAGAATCATATACTCACTTATAATGTTGCATTTCAGGATCTTGTTCTTGTAATACCCGTCTATAAAATAAATATTCTGATGTAACAAAATAAAAAATGATTCATCAATACTATGAAATAGAAAAAGCTTTGGAATTACCGTTGCGTAATTTCTGTATGTGTAATACTGTGCTCCTGTCTTTGCTCCACTCGTCGATTCACAAGCCTATAAGTACAAATGTATGAAAACTTAAGAGATTTCAGGTAAAACAAAGAAACAAATTTTTTTTAAATATATTATATAAACTATCCGTTTTCCATATTTTTTTCATAGTACAAAAAACCTTATTTTTATTTATGCACTCAATATGCATGCATCATCATCAACAAAGTATCAAAATAGTTTTAAATTAAATCAAAGCCAAGAAAAATTTCAAATCTAACATAACCTCATAGAGACAGTTTGAAAATATTCCATAAACAAATTGCTGATTTTCAATCGATTCAATAAGTATATGTGATACACTATGCATTTGAAAATGTTAATAAGTTTACACTAATTATATGAATGAAAACAATTATAAACCTATATTATGAACACATTCAAATGTATTCACATATTACATCTGATCACCATTGCATTCCTGGCAAATATATCATGCATTTTAAACTATATCTCATATTTCACAAGTTTTAAATTTTAGTAAACATGTCAAACGATTTTTACAAAAATAATAGAGATTCTCAGAAAAAATCATGCATGTTTCACATAGATAAAACAACGAATTACATTTACAGACTAATAATTTTTAATTGGGAATATAGAAAGATATAACATTATAAATAGCACACTAAGAAAAAAAAATTATACACTCAACACCTAGTTTCTGAATTCAATTCATATTCTAATAAAATGGCAATGTTGATTACAATATTTGGTCATCAAGGATAAATTACACAGTCTAAAAGACCAGCATCATAAATGTTATTGATTACTTATTCTTGCAAATAAACAATAATTAGATTCAATCCTGTTCCTAATTCCTTTGCTATTGACAAACAAAGGTTCAAATGATAAAAGTCAAAATATAGATATTCAACAGATCCATATGAAGTTTTGAATTTTGTCAGCCTTATCAAAAGTACAATTCCAAAGCAAAAATACACATTGTCGCAATGAATAAGATAGAGGAGTTATCAAACTAAACTAAATGCAAACATACATAACTCGATTAGCTAAAATAATGCAAGAGAACAACAATTAAACTTGTTAGCTACTTTAAGGATCATGTACATGTTACTCTTCAACTTACAAGCATGAATCCACTAGCTGATTTCCGGACATTTTGTTGAATGATTCTAAAAGTTTACAGAATCCAGCACCATGCAAATTTTAATAAAACTGTTAGTACATCACTTTAATGGAAGGGTCAGAAATTTCTCCTTGAGAAGATATAACAGACAGACGAAGATTTTTATCATGCAAACATTTACGTGAATCAAAAACAAACACACCTGATGAAATGTATAAAGTCTATTTTCACTATGTATGAAAAACTTATATATCCAGATGAAATGAGAAATGTAGTATATTTAATATTGTCAAATATTTTCATTTATCGTATATTATATTATACATAGTCAGATCAAATTATATGAAGCCATAAAAATGCACTGGGGCACATAGAAATTCTGGTTCTATAAATCATTTCAAGAAACATTGTGCAAGAAACCTTAGCTTGGAAGTAAATTTCAAGACAATAAAATTTTCAATGAAATCTTTTCGCCATATATTTATATATCAACTAACAAGAATTCATGCTTACTCGTCTGAAAATTTAAGGAAACTTTTTGTGATTATAAGTTAAAAGTCAAAAACTCACACCTAACTAAAGTATTATAAACATCTAAAATTTATATGCTCCAGCAGCTTTACTGTACTTTTGCTGGTAATTTTTGAAAATTGTAGTTTTTTGTCTAAGTGTGTGGATGCCTATTGTAAATTATGCTCTTTGTAGACAAAATGTTTAATTTATATTTTGTATATCCTTCAGATGTAAAGTTCAAATACAATCTGTCTCTGCTTTAATAAATATTTATTTTTCATATTTTTAATTACCATGGATGTTACTTGCTGTTTTCTATGTATAACTTTTATTTCATCACATGTTTCTAACAATATTTTAAATTGCACTTTTTGTTTAATTAGTCTAACATAAATAATGCTAGTATTTTTTTATAATTATCTAGTTATCAGTTATAGTAAAGATTTGATTTGTTTACACAGTTATTAACAAAGAAATTAAACAGGACAGAATATTGGTCATGTATAATACTTAATTTTCTGCTTAATTTGGAAAATAGTAAGTGTAAAATTGTAAGATTTACGTTCAATATGAATTATAATTTCCAACACTCTCTTGTAAAGTCTTGATATATTTGTAGATTTTTATTAACTAACTTTGAAATTTATCTGTAATACCAGTTACTCTATTAGCTGAGTTGATTTACAATATAAAACAACAATTTAGTACTTTACAAGGTTTCTGTTATATTTAATTGTAAGTTTTATATTGGAATTATTTTTGAGCATTTTCCCAAAGCTTTACCAAATATAACAAATTCTTACATAATTAGTAAGATCTAGTAATATTACCAAGGAGAACTGATGATAATTAAATGTAAAGATATATCATATTTTAATTTCAAAATATTTACTATGATGATTATTAGTATTATGAAAATTTTAAACAGAACCTGCCCTATATTTAATTTTTCATATCATGGAACCAAAATTAAAAAAATACTATGTGGTTTAAACAACAAACCTGCAGATAAACAACTAATGCCTTATCAGCAATGTCAGATGCGCTAGTAAATGCTCCAGTTTTCTTTGGATAACTTTTCAGACTTTTCGAGCCTTTCCATTCAAAATTCTTGAACATGTCAACTATATAAACAAATAAAAATCAAAGTAAGTAATCTTATTGCATAAACAATGTATAGAGATGAATTATTTTAAATTTAATATAGTTTTCAAAAAAATATTGTTATTTGTAGGAAACAAATGTAGCAAATTAAACATTGTAAAAATTGAACCTTTTGTGATTTCTTTAGATACAGCTAGAGTCTCCGATTCCTCACTCCATATTTAAAAATGTAACATAAAATTTGTCCAATATTGCCATCAGCCTTGGAGGTCCATCACCAGCTGCACATATAAAATTTATAATATTAACTCTTTTCATATATGGAATATGTATATTAATGTAATATATTATACACAAATTAATTATGATAATAACAATAATTAATTTATACAAAAATGTTCAGACCTTTGTTTTGAAATGCAATTGGTGCAAAAATATGGAGTGTAGTGTGTTCTTATTTATATAAATAATATTTGTTACACTCATAATGCTATAAATATATATATATATATATATATATATATATATATATATAAAGGTTTTTCAGCCACAAGTCAAATAAATATAGATTCAGCAAACCTTCTCAGGTCAACATTTTTTTCAATATATAAAATAATGAGATTGTTTAAATCAAAAGTGTGTTTAAAATTTCGTATATGCTCAAATAACATCGTTTTGTATTGATTGTTATATATGTATAATTAGGCACATATTATGATCCAAGATATATATTGGTTGCTATTGATTTTACATATCAATTTTGTTAATGTTTAATAAGAAATTCTGCAGCATTCATCATAAAACAAACACTTGCAATAGCAAGATTTAATGATTCAATTAAGTCTATAATTGATGTATGAATGATTCTTATATGAATTATTAATATTCAGTGATTCGCTTCTCACACCCTTGAATTTGTCCTCAAGTTCTATAAACTATCATAACATAATTTAATAAAATTGAAGTGGTTTATTTTTTTTATACTTAAAAGGAAAATTCAGGAATGTCAAGTTTTAAAACAATATTATTTCATACAAAAAAGGGAATAAAAAATTTGTTTGGTCACCCAATAATTTTAGTGTATATATGTATATATATATATATATATATATATATATATATATATATGTTGAAAGTGTTTTTAAATTTAAATCTTTATATTTTTTACTTGTTATGCCCTCCAAGAAATTAATCATATATATATATATATATATATATATATATATATATATATATATATATATATAGACAATTCCAGGATATTTTCAATAAGTTGATATATGTTTCTTTTCTGAAGAAAAAATGCAATAAATAAAAAACAATTTGTTACGTTTGGGAACTACATACGTTCCATCATCAGGTTTTTTCTGTCAAAAACATTTTCTTATAGAGACTAACTCTATTAATGATGAAGAATACAGAATTTTAAGTAAAAAAGATTTGTATATTATATATATATATATATATATATATATATATATATATATATATATATATATATATAATATAGACTGATAATTGTAAAAAATGATGTATTATTGCTCATTAAACCATCAAGTTAATTTTATTCTATAAATGATGCTTAAAATTGCATTAAATGCCATATTTACCATAAGAATCAAAATTGAAAATTAGTAATGTTATGGATTATAAATCGAGTAACAGCAATCATGTTTACATACCACGAGCCATGACGTATATAGCATTCGGCTTTAGTTTATAATCTTCGTAAAATCTGATAGGTTCCTTACAATAAATAACTAATACTGAAAAACTTTCATTAATATATCACAACTTTCATATTTTATTTATGATGTTTCTTCACTGGCAAGATTATACACAATGGGTGGCGATACGTCACCAACATACATTAGTCCAGGTGATCGCAAAACCACTGGAATATGAAATAATGCATTAGATATCATCACCAACTTATTGACGTGCAAACTCGATTGATAACAAAATGAATTTCACATAAACTGATTATTAGTCGCATTCTATTAAAGCAACTCAATGCGCACAGATTCACTCCCACCCACAAAGCATGCTGGGAAATACTATGCGATACTTCGGCTTTCGGCTAAATGTGAGTACAGCCAACAGCCATGAGCCGTGCACCGTCCCACTTTGTGTGGAGTGCATACTCTACTCGACAGTCGGCACTGGTCGACACCATCGACACCCCCTCGGTCAACCGCACGATTTTTAAATTAACATTTACATTCGTATTTTTATTTTCATCGATTAATTTCGAGACAGTCTGCAGATTATTATATGGATTAAGTATAAAATAATCTATTTACGTATAAATATAGATTAACAAGTTAACAATCAGCTAAAAAATTTGAGCACCTAAAAAATGTATAGTTAAAAAAAATGTCTATATTCAGTTTCTTATCTTTATTATTAATTATATGTTAAAATATCAAATTCATATGAATATAGTTTATTCATAATCAAATCGCCTAATTGTCTGATTCTAAGGGTACGAGTACATGGGCGATTTAGTCATACTTTAACGCCGTTACATGAAGCATCGAAAAATACCTCAAATTTTAATTTCCTGGATATATTTATTATTAGAATTCTAAATACATTCATATATTATTTTAAAATATATTATATTATTTTAATATATTTAATTAACAATTTGGTTATCTTATTTATTCATTCAGTTTCTCATGAGTGAAATTAGGAGCGAATTTAATTTAACGTCACACGCCGTTGCTGGAACTTCAAAACTCACCGTTGCTATTATCTTTTGTTTCACCAAACTTTCTTAAATTGTTAAAAAAAAAATTGTAATACGTTTTTAATTTCATATCGCAATAATGAACAAAATGTACAGTTCCGTAAAGAAATCAATTTCATTCAACGGGTTTAGTCTATTTTTCCGACAATTAACCACGAGCTCGAAAACTTATGGAAAATTCCGAATTCAAAGCTTGCAGGACTTCGATGCGCATGTCAGAAACAGTAAAGTGCCTGTAATCGTTGATTTTTTTGCTACGTAATATCCATTATATATTGATAAATAATATTATATTATTGTTGATTAAATTATTTACTTTTTATGTTTGTTTTGCAGCTGGTGTAATCCATGCAAAGCTATGACCCCTCGCCTTGAATCTATCATTGCTGAGAATGAAGGAAAGGTAGATTTAGCCATAGTCGATGTAGATGAAAATACTGATCTGGCCCTTGACTACCAGGTTGGCACAGTGCCCGTCTTATTGGCAATCAAAAATGGTAAAGTTGAACATCGCCTAGTTGGATTACAAGATACTGAAAGTATAAGAAAATTTGTGGGCAATATATTGCATGAACCAAGCGATGAGAGCAAAGAAATAATACTAGAGGAGGAATCCAAACCTTTATCCAATGCCACATGAAATGAGCCAGGAATTACAAAAAAAAGTTTTGCATTACTTTTAATAAAAAATTATTTATAAAAGAGTTATTTACAGATTTTATTTAAAATACATTATATATATATATATATATATATATATATATATATATATATATTTATACGTTACACATATTATCATTAATATATAACTAGTTTTAGTAAACAGACTTTGTTAACAACTTTATTGAAATTTATCTGAATTCTACTACATTTCTCTAAAAAATTTGAAAAAACAAAAATCTTGATAGCCAATTAATGATTTGCCTATTAAATGTTTAAAATAATATATCAATGATATAAATTACAAGATAATACAAAACGTCAAATTTTAACTTGGTGAAAATTACTTTATTTAATACTGGCAGAAAATAGACTTAAAAAAAGCTAATCTTTGGAATCTAAATCAGAACACCTACATTCTAAAATATTTTTATCATACAAGAGGAAAGATCATAGTTATTAAAAATTATTTCATTGATCTTTACTAAATATTAGGTACTTAAGAATATTTTGTAACAAATTCACTTAAGACTAGGTAATTAATTACAGTTATTTTAAATATATTAAACTGTGATCTTATTGAAAACAAATTACTGAAATATTGATATATTTCAATTTATACTTATAATTTAATTTGTATTGAGAAAAATATCCTCTGGACTTACATATTTAAAACATATTTTCTTAAAAAAAAATGAGTTAAGTATTTGAGATCCAATTGTTTTATTTGAACTTAGTTTTCTTTTGTGTGATTGATATACAGTAGATCCTTATTGATTAATAGCATAACAAATAAATAAATGCAGATCGTCATTAAGTTAGTAAATCACTGGGTAAGAGCATTTTAAAATCTTTGTACATTTTCTATAAAATTTAAACAATTAAGGGAGATCTTATTTCTTTGTTCACAACATAAAACTTATGCTTTTTACCGAAAACACCCCAAATAACTGCAACGTTTTCAATAAGCATATTTAAAGGAATGGTTGAAAGTGCCCCGCATATGCAAAGAATAAATCTAAACATACCAAAACGATACAACGAAAACGATTTTACAACTCCAAAGACATACATATACACACTCACAGCGCCAATGAAGGCACATAAAAAATCTACTACAGAAGGACACCAAATGGGACATAATTTAGCTAAAATTATATTAGATGTAGATAAAGGCATAGTGATCCAAGAATAACAGGATAAAGTTAAGAAAAATTTGTTTCTCATGGGTATTGCTTTAGAATGCACAACAAGTAAAATTCCTTGCAACCAACGCTTACGCTGCTGAATAAAATCCCATAGACCAAACGGTGACTTCTCCCACATCTCTCCTTCTATAAAATTGAATGTATAACCTTCTTTGTAAGCTCTCATTGCAAAGAAGCAATCCTCTGCCACTGAACCATCTAAACCATTATCATAAGTAACTTGACGCTCCGCATACACCTATGTATAAAAAATAAAGCATGTTGGAATGTCCATGATGCATCATTTATTCATTATGTGTAACAAAATACCTGTGACACTACAAATGACCCTTTCCAACTAAATAGAGGTTTGTGAAACAAATTGAATTGAAGTCGAAGTTTACCCATATCATCAGCTACACGAAAGCTATCAGCAAGAGTGGTTAGCCAATTAACTACATCTTCATTGGCATATGTAATGAGTCCTTGTCCAAAGTGATGTTTGCCATCAATTACAAAATTCAGTATTCCACGTACTGAATTCTCGGTCAGCAATGTTTCTTCATCTAAATGAACTATCCAATCTGTATCTGCAAGAACATTAATACCCTCTTCCAAACAGTATTGGAGTGCACGTGCTTTGAATAAAGCTCCTGTTTTAGTTCTGTAAGCAGAAGGTACTACTATTTCTCTTACTCTCCTGTGAGAAGGCAGGCCTAATGCTTTATCGGTAACAACTTCAATTAAAAAATTTTCTAAGCCTGCATCAGTACATTTGGTCATGTTTTTTGAAATATTTGTTTTGACAAGTTGTGGAAAATCACCTCGAGTCACTATCCTAATACATATGAATGGAGCTAGCAATGGGCTACCTTTTAAGATAACTTTGTCTGGAAAGGCATTGTAAACAGTCAACCCCACAAAATTAAAAAGCACTTGAGGCAAGGATAGAAACGTTAAAACTCGGCAAATGTAGAGCACTATGGTGCCGAATAAACCATACGTTTCGATGGGATCTATCGGAGTTGAAATAGTATGAAGTTTTATTCCACCACTGAATATTTCAAATGCTATAATCACTGTCAGCAGCAGGCAGCAATGCAATGTGTGTTTAATTCTACTGCTGAACATAGTTTAAGCAAATAATGTAGGAAACTTCAAATTACATTAATATTATCTTATTTAAAATCCAACCATCAGTCAAAAATTAAGTTCAAATACACCTTGAGAAAAAATTATAAGTTAGATAAGATAGTTTCACTAGAATTAGTTTACGATTATTTATAATTACATTTTTGTTCTTAATTTTTGATATTTGTGTTTCATTTTTAACATTAAAACATCACAAAATAAATTAAAAATTTCATTTTTTAGGTTAAATATCACAGCATACATATAGCATAGCATATATAAGTAGTTAGGAAAATATTCACGACTGGCGACAGGTCGAACGCAGAACGCTCCAATCAATTAGTACAAAGTTTCCACTCCTAGACAATATATAATCTAAAATGGAGTCTCACAGATTTTGCGATACCAAAATTTGGTTCAGACGACTCCGTGGATATTAAAAATAAACCCTAGACAATATAATAATAAATAGAAATACACGTACAAATAGTTGATTATTTGCAAGTAAATCATTTATTTTCTGAATAGAAAAAAATTTCGTATGAACTGCAGTATTTCATTTTGTATCCTTAGTCCACGAAGCTAGTTAAAAGCTCGTTATGATAAGTTTTAATGAGAAATTAAGGAAATCAATCGCGGTTTCCATTCGCCATATGTTTTCCATCGATTAGTGAACACAAATTTTTCTATTCACCTTCATATCATTTTTTATGACCTAGTGAAAACGGCAGAAATAAAGAACAGATAAACAACTAAAAATAAAGTTGTTAAGTACGGAAGTACGCAACTTTCAAAATCATTATAGCAGTGGTTTCCAACCTTTTCGTACCATGCCCGTTCCACCACTTTTTTTAATTTTTGCATCTCATAATTGTTAGCAACCTTGTTCAATTCCTTAACTGATATCATTTATTTATCGGGTTGCAAATTAATGTACAATATTGTGTAAAAATATTTATTCACTCAGCTTTTCAAATCATTTTGACTTTTTTGATTGCATTTGAAAATAGTAGGTATTTTGTAAACATTCTTGCCCTTGCAATAACCAGAAGCAGAAAACCACAAAAATATAGTAGTACCCCGCTTCAAAATGTTTATGTAAAATGGATAAAAAATTGTCTATGTATCAATTTTAATAAGCATCATGTTTGTTTTTAATGAAAATAAAACCAAACAGTTATTTCATACAATAATAAAATTAACAAACATATATGCTTCTAAAAACCAATAAAATTCGAATTCAGTTAGATCATTTAGTCTATTATGTGTCTATCAATATTTTTATTTTCTTCTTGCTCAGTTAATTGCTTCAGATCATCAAAAAGACCAGCTTCTGCTTTTTATACTATTTCTTCAACATCTTCCTTACTGATCTGTAAGCCGAGTTTGTTTCACCCATTTCACTATTTCTTCCATAATTTTACCCACATTTTGGTGAATCTTCAGAAAAATAAAAAAAGCTCGACAACAAAGTAGGGTTAAATGAGCACTATTACAAGATACAATTACAATCATCGAGTCTTCTTTATTCTGGCCAAAATTCATTGACAATACAAGGAAACATTTTATGTTTAGATAATAGTGGCCGACAAAACTGATCTGTAAATAATAAAAACTAATAGATTTATGAAAGATATAAAATTGATGAAACCTAAGATTCTCATATTGAGAGCAAAGGTAGTGAGTTGTAGGATAAGTTTTTTACTTTTCAAAATTGAAATAACATCACATCATGTACTTTTGGAGATTTTCATCTCCACTGCCGTAATGTTGAAACGATTGTAATTTCAATTTTCTTAAGAAAGTTAATAAATTTTCATATTAGCATTTTTATTATGTATGTCAGCTTTAATCTGTTGCAGTGTTAAGAATTAACTAAAAGGAAAGAAAAAAATAATTTGTCGATATATTATACATTTCATTATGTATTTATAATTTACAAAATATAATCAATAAATATTTTACCTATGAGTAACATAGTTGCCCTATGCATGCCTATACATAAAATTTCATTCAAATTTAATTCATTTCATATCATATCATATTTCATATCACCCTATCTTCTATCTCATTTCAATTAGACATTATTTTCTATATTTTTAATAGCTATTTGTTTCAATGCACAAAATTAACAAGTAATTTCATTTTTTTGTAATGAAGAAAATCAAATCTATAAATAAATTCTATGTATCACATATTCTAATTTGAATGTTGAACTGTAAGGAGTAAACTAAGGATAAAGCTAGCATTAAATGCCTCGTCACACTTATATAAAACTATATCATCAGGATCATTGAACATTAACCAACTCCACTCAAAACTATGAAATGAGATAAAAAAGTCTTTCTTTTAATGCAATTCATAAAGCACAATTTCTATTGAAGAGACTGATCACATTTCTAAACCCTCAATGTAATTATTGCTTCATGAAACTGATAAAAGTTAAATTTTCAAATTATTATTTCTATAATTAATGCCTATATGTACAGAAACAATGCGACTTACCATTATTGCCCATGTATAAATATAAAATATATTAATCACAGGTTTGTTTCTTTTTTGAGGGTACACAACTTTCCTCATTTTCTGTAGAACTAAAAGGACTCTTTTTTCTTTTAAGTGATGAAGGAAAAGCACTCAAATCATCTTTTGAGTTAACACTGGGATAATACTGGGTACTTTGTTGATTTTGTATTTGTATCTTCATTAAGTTTTTCACTGGGCTTACTTCTTGGTGTGTATGTGTATGTGTATGTGATGTATTCTGAGTTAAACTAGATTCTTCAGTTTGTACTTTTATTTCTTTGTCTTCGACCGAATTAACTCTCTTCTCATCTTTAGACTTCAGCACATCAGAATGATGAACCTTATTTGATGTTACACATGTATTTTCAGCATTTATTTGTTTAACACTATTATGTTTATATTCTTTTATCGAATTTTGATTTGCAATATCTGATTTATTTAAACTCTTGGTTAAGACATCAGAATTACAATAGTCTCTTCTCTGTTCGCGTTTTTCACTCTTACTTTGAGAAGAATTTTTATCTTCCTTATCACGATGTTTCCTATGTTTTTTATGTCCCTTACTATCAGAACAAGGTTTCTTATGAGAATCAATATTGTACTTTTTTCCTATGTCATTCAGCAAGTTAGATTTTCGCATATCTATCTTTTGTTCATGCTTATCAAATTTACTTCTATCATGTCTATCTCTATCTGTTTTTTTATCATATTTTTTTTCCTGGCTTGTATGCTCTGATTTATGTGTTCGGACCTTCTCATCAAATTTGTGTTTATTATAATCTTTATCATTTTCTTTCTTTTTACTAGACAATTTTTTAATATCTAATATTGTATATTTATGTTTTGAATCTGATTTTGGTTGAGGTGTAATACCATATTCTATTGTACTAACTTGTTCAATATTTTTATTTGATGTTAAAGATGTGTCATTTGGTACTTGGCCAGATGCTGAATTATTACATTCTGTACCACCAGGGTAGTATTGCTTCAAACGTAAATGCCATGCTTAAAGAAACAGATTAATCAATATAATAAAATTTCAGTACAAAAATGTAATACAAAAAATATTTCTTACCAACACTTGTAACAGCAGACACAGTGCGAAATTGATGTATTATATTCCTGGGTAAGAAATAAATGTCATTGTCACATAGTTGTATACGAGCATAAGTTACACCTTCTCTTCGTAACTGATTTAATTTCGCATCTTCCAACCATTGAACACATTGTGTAATAGGGGGCTCATGTAAATCCAGCTGCAGCTTTCCAACAAGATAATTGAAATCTTTGGCACTAAATGCTACCACGTCCTTAGTTATTCTATTTAGATCACTTGGTTGTCCTGCATGAATTGCTTTCAAAATTCCTACATTAAAAATAAAAATGATAAAATGCATGTTGATATCTATATATATACATATAAAAAGAAAATGCATACATATATGTATACATATATGTGTATATATATATATATATATATATATATATATATATATATATATATATATATAGAATAGAATAGAATAGAACTTTATTAAAATTCAATAGTTACAATTTAAGTCATTTACAATACATAATTATTCTAAAAATTCATTTATAAAATAATAGGGATTATTTAGTAAATAATTTTTAACAATATTTTTAAAGGTCTTAATCTATATGAATATATATGAATATATATAGGTGAATATATATATATATATATATACATTAAATGATTTTATTTTTCTGAACTAAGAGCCTCTGTTCTTCCAACAAATTATCTAGATAGAAACTTTTTAGTTCAATGTACATACTTTTTAGTGGTATATTTTAAAAACAATCTTCAATCAAATAATTATATACATGTATGGTAAACTAACCTACTGCCGCAGTGGTCATACGTTCTACACCCAAACCCACATGATCAGCATGAGCTTTTGTTCGATCTTCAAACATAGTCTCTCTAGCTTCTGACATCCTAGGCAAATATTGCAAGTTCCTCAATTCATTTATTCCCCTAATAAAAATAAATTATATTAAAAATAGAAGCAACCAAGCAACTATATATAGCACTAAATTTATAATTTATAGAATAATAATTTGATTCATTATAAAAAAAATACCTTCTTCCTTTTTTTGGTGCACTTCCTTTAATAGCTAATTCAGCAGTAGGAACAAGTTGTTCTCCAGGACGAATCCATAAAATTGGACCGTCATTGGAGTCTGCTGGTGACATATTTGTTGCAGATAAAGGACCCCAAGGCATTGTCTGCACACATGCATAAAACATTATCATGACTTATCGCCGTAGCACATATATGATTGTTTATTGGGAAATCAAAGAATGCAAAAGAAAATATTTATATAGCAATGTGCGTAAAATTAGTATGTACAGTTATCAGTTTATTTCAAGGAAATTATTAACATCTGTTTTTGGTACTAAAATAAAAACTGATTATTTTAATTTTTATAGTACTGCTAACACTATTGAGAAGTGTTGGTCTTTTAAAACAAGTCTTTATATTGTTACTTACAATTTTCATATTTATTTTTAATAAAACTTATATTACCCCATTAAATAGAAACTAGGACTCATTTGACAATGTATGGTCTTTTGTGATGTGATGCAACATCATTTAATGTATTTAAATTCATTGTAATAGTAATTCAAATTCAGTACAAACCATATGCAAAAAAGGATTATCTTCAAGTCTGGCCAGCAGGTCCGGAAAATAACCACCAACTTCCTCATCAACTGTGCCTACTAAGCTAATTTGATGTAAGGGACCGAATCTTATAGTTCCGTTACAGTAACTCTTAACAACATTTTCTTGATATTGGCTCATTGTGCAAGTTTCAATATCAGATCCTCGTGCTAAAAAACCATTTTTGACTGTAAGATTAGGATGATGTTCAGCCATGTATTCTAATAAGTCTGGAAGATATGAGGCGGCATTGTGAACAATTCCCATTACATGATGAGCCTTCAGATTTTCGTCTTCACTAAAAACTATCCTAAAAAATTCTGTAGCCAACTCTTGCACTTGCTGATCATTTAAATTGTCAATGTCCTCTTGATACATATGAACAACCGTTGCTCCACCATTTGGGTATGGTTCTACTTTTATAAAACTATTATAGTCAAGAATTTCTGTATTTTTTTCTTGTGAGAATGGATCACTTAAATTACTGTTCGGTACACTACATTTCGATACTTTACTGCTCACATCCTTATCACGTTTACACTGTACACCTATATTAGCTAGTTTTATTTTTGATCGTTTATAACATCGACTGCAATGATTTGAGCTTTGTTTGCTATGATGCCTTGAACTATGATGCTTCCTGTCGCTGCTCGATCGATGAGAGTGGTGATGAGAATTACTGCTTTTACTACTCGACTCATTTTTTATAACTTCTGTCTTAACACTGCTGGCACCGGATTCAGTTTTAATATGTTTTTCAGTTTTACCAACTGCAGGGTTTTCGGTATTTTCTTCTTTTACTGAAACTTTGTAAGTCTTTATTTGGGGTTTATCAATATAGTTTTCTATTACACTTGGCTCTGAGGAGTTGTTGTACGTTGTTTTAGATCTGACAATAGATTCTTTAATATTTACTAAAGAAGAGATCAAATTGTCATTCTCAGTATTTTGATTGATTATCTTCTCAGCATGCTCTGTTTTGATAGCTGGTTGATCCAGAATGAGTGCAGACATGTTTACAGTCGCTGATTCAAGTACTGATTTAGTTTCAATTTTATTACTTTTATTTTCATCTAACTTAGCACATTCATTTGTTGTATCATGTTTGACATGAAATTTGTTATGCCTATTGACATTTGAAAAATTAATGTTCTGATAACTCGTTTCTTCAATTTTTGGATCTATAATCAGAATTTATTTCGTACAGACGTTATTAATAAAAAATTGACTAATAAAATATATACTAACCAGAGCAACTTTCAGCTTTTATGTCAGCATCATTACACTGGTGAAATTCATTGCCGAGAGGCTGAATCGTCCTTAACTTGGTCACAGAATTAACTAAACGTTCATCTAATGATACTTTTTCACATAATTCAAAACTAGCCGCTGTATACACAACATTAGTGTCAATATTTTCGCTTGTTGTTTCGCCAGAATATTGCCCATCGCTTACATGGATTTGAGACGCCATTACCCAAACGCGAAGAGAATGTTTATCATAACACTATAGAAACTCATTTGAACTAATTTTTTCCAGAGTCAACAACAACAATAGTGCTTAAATAAATGGCGTTTTTCAATTAACATCAAAACTGTAATCTCTTCCAGTCACTGTTTCATAAATAAAAATAATGGAATTGCGACATTCGAAGATAACTACAACATAAACTGGGAAGATGCAATGTCCATTACCAACAATACAAATAGAATATTTTCACATTCGTAAAGAAGCGCTACAATTCATAAAAATAACTGTACGGTTTAGGGTACGATTTAAAGCCCAGAATATCCATTTCCAACAATTGTTATATTCAACGAAATTCATTCCACGTCGATGTACTTAAGAAAAGAAATGCACTTTTGTGTATATGTACTTAAAAATTGGCGCTTTTCTGTATGTCTGATCATTTTTATTTTCTATGTTGGTAAATAGATTGGTAAATCTGTCAAAATTTCAGCACATGGCTGCGTTGTTACAAGACATTATTTAATATCTAATATGTTATCATATAAAAGCCTAGACAATATAATAAAAGTTTATAGATTACAGAATTCCCCATTTATCATGTCTCATTTATACAGGATATAATTGATTTTTGCATTAATTATTTATTAGACAATTTCTCTGTTTTATAATTTATTTCATTAAAAAATTGTATTTAAAGAAAGAAATACGTAGAATGCATTAAAAAAATAAAGTATATTATAAAAATAATTATTATATACATACAACCACGTCAATTCCTTTAAGCCATAAAATATATACATTTTTCTGTTGATTCATACAAAATTAAATTGTATTCATGGATGTAAACAACATCGAAAACCTAAATTTCCAGCTGTACTGTCCGCTGTATTCTGTGATCTTGCAGAACAACGATATCTGCAAACATATAAGAGTTGAATGAAAACTTTGAGGAGTATATATTGATTTAAATTTACCGGTTGCAATAGCTCTCATGGCATAAGTAAGAGCCACCTTTCTTCACTCGTTCATTAGACTGAAATATATCAGATAATATACACACATTACAACATTTTGTATGCCATACATGTCTTCTTACCTTTGGATTATGTGGATCCCATAAATCACTAGTCCATTCCCATACATTGCCAGTAATATCAAATATGTTGAAATCATTTGCAGGATAAGTTCCCACAGGGCTTGTTCCCACCCAACCATCTTCCTTGGTATTATGATGTGGAAATTGTCCTTGCCAAACATTCATCCTGTAGTATAGATAACTAATTAATTCAATGAAGTAAAACCCCTTTAAAAATGCTTAAATAATTTCATAAAAAAGCAAATTATTTTGAATGCTTGAAATTTATCTAAATAAATTGTTACCTGTGTTTTCCTTGTGGTACAAGTTTATTACCCCAAGGATACAATTTATTACGTTTTTTTCCTTTGCACGCTATTTCCCATTCATGCTCAGTAGGCAGGCTTCCATTTCTCCATTTGCAATATGATACTGCGTCATTCCAAGAAATATGTACTACTGGATGGTCCCAGCGATCAGGTGCTAGAAAAATAAGATAATAATATAATAACTAAACAATATTCCACAACTACCTATAAACTTTTTGACAACTACTATAGTATGCAAATCTGAAGAGATTTTCATATAATTCATATGAAATCTTTAATAGCTATTATTTTATTACAATGAATTGGGTAAGAATCACTAATAGTAATTTTACTTACAATTTATATTTGAACCAGTTCCTTCGGGTTGAAACCAATTAGCTAATGGTATTTTATACCACCAAGGCGATCCAACAACTCTGAAATCCTTGTATTGCTTCTGTGTTTCTGGTCGTAGAAACGATTTAAACACAAAGCTGTCTCCAAATTTTTCTGCTTCCGTAACATATTTAGTAGCTTTTACAAATTCATTAAATTGTCTATTTGTCACCTCATATTTATCAATATAAAATGATTTTAAAGATACATTTGTGACAAGAGGTTCTTTATCAACAAGTAAATACCTTTTATCGGTTCCAATCTCATATATCCCAGTAGGAATGAGAGTCATGTTGGAATATTGGAAGTTTACATTTGAGCATGTGTCCTGTGAAATAATATTTTGATAAAATAATGAACGTTGGGAAATAGTGTTGGTGAGCGAATTTTTTCTATTTCCATCACATCCACAGCCACAAAAGGCATCTTCTACGAATACTGACAAAAACACATATATAATGGTATGCCGAAATATCAAAACAAATCTCATTTCAGGTAAATTCTGCTAACTTAAATACCCAGTAAAAATTGTATGATAATGATGATTTATAATCAATTTTCTATGATATATTATCTCATTTGTCAAAACTACAAAAACATAACCACACATTCTAATCTGTTTAACACCCTGTTTACAGTAATTATTAATAAAATGAAAACAAATAATAAATTTATTTCTTCGATATATTATTATAATCATATATTTTCGGATATATGACAGTGAACAATAAAACCTGTATATTATTATTTATATATAATTATTTATTGGTTATTAATTAAGGTGTTACACACACTAATCGTAAGTAAAAAACCTAGAGCAGTTGAAAATTACATTTTTTTTGAATTGATGTTGAATTAAATTAAAATTGAAAATCAGCACTAATAACACATCACATGAGTATTATATTATTAAATTAGTTGTTACATGAGCAAGCCGAAGACATATGGCTTTAAAAATTATTTATGGGATATATATTCAAATTTTTTCACAATTTTATACAGTAATAAAAATCATTTAGACTATTTACCAATTTTCTTTTCTATATCAACTTTCTCCAGAATCTATGAAATAATTACAATGATAAGCTGAAGGTTTATTTTTGTAAATATTCAAATTCAAGTTCAAGAATTTTTCTGAAATAATTTATTTTACATAGTAATATAAATTACACCATTTTTGTCTTAAATGATGGAATGATTTACATCTTTCATCATAAAATGAAAATAATAGTATAATCGTTTCAGCAGTTGTATTGCACTGATTAATAAACATGTAAGTTGAAATGCTGAACATTTATGTATAATATACATTTTGAGCATATGCTAAATTGAAATGATATATATATATATATATATATATATATATATATATTACAATGTGTTTTATAAAAATATTTTATTGTGTTATAATTATGTTCTTATATATATACAAATTCAGATTTCACTAACAGAAAGCCATATATTTTGCCGTATTTCACAGTAAATAATTTTAATATAAATAAATGCCAGCTGCATTGTTGTAATCCCAGAAATAATCAAATCAGGAAATGGAATGCCTAAATTCAATGTTGGGTATGTTGAAAATTTATTCTGTTTTTTTTAATATATCACATTACGCTAAGCGTATGGATTGTATGATTTGGAAAATAGCTGAGCCACACACTACAAATATAAAAAGAGCCAGCAACCATGGACCAACGGGATAATTATCCTCTTGTGGCTTCTAAAAAAGAAAAAATATGTTATTTCTATTTTAATTTGATAGAAAATGCACAGCTATGACAAACAATGAATGAAATTTTTTATAGCAATATTATTTTGATGATTATTTGTGAAAAACAGATAGAAACGTAAGTGACAGAAAAAGAAAACTTACTGTTGATTTGGGTACATTTCCACGAAGCGTTACATTTTTGCTAGCTTTTTCGTTAGCTATGCGCATTCTTTGTTTTGGGGCCATCTTAATCGAACGTTTACTTTAATTTTAAAACAAAATAAATGGTTTTATTCAACTGAGCAAAACTCCAGCTGTGATGATATACACATACGTAGATACGTGTTTAAAAATGTTTGACACGTTCACAATACGTCGAAGCATACGTAAAGAGTAAAGATTTCAGGGCGCAGTATTGCCATCTATAAAACATATAAAAAAATACTGTAAATTGTACACTCACCTAATTTGACATTCATTTAAAGATAGTATACATGTGTGGCGCTGGATGGCGTTTTGTTTCATTTCAAATGTCTAAATTTTTTGTTTTTAAATTAATTTAGAAATCTATAATATATATATTAATATACATACATGGTGTCCCACAACGTCGAAAGTCGAAACGGAGTGACAAGATCCTGGATAATATAATATTTGACTAGGGGGGTGCATGGCATCGTGCCTTAAGGCAAATTGCTGAAACTTTGATCGCCAAATGACACTTTTTCAACTTATTTTTATTGAGAGTCCCTAACCGGTAGTCCTGCCTTTCCAAAAATTTAATCAGTCATCTTGCCAATACAAGTAAAATGTCTTTTGAATTATTAAAATCGGACGCTCCGTTCTCTTAAAAACTGAGTTACCGTTTTCGGCACTATTTGCCTTGTATCTTCGGAACGGCTAGACCTGCTTTCGCCAAAAAAATAATCAGCACGTCTCCTTATCAATACGAATCGAATGTTTTTGGAATTATTCAAATCGGTTGATGGGTGTTTCCGAAATCGTCGACGAAAATTTGTATCCGCACACACACACATACACTCATACACACATGCATTTTTTCTAAGGTATGCCAAAATGTTCAAAAACCTTTGAAACGTAAAGATATATAAAAAATTTCATTTTCGTTTTTTTGTGATTACTATAACTTACCCCTTAGACAATATAATAATTGACATGATTCAGTAGAAAAAACTAAACATGCAGTTTAAATATAAAAGAATCAAAAACCAAAAAAATGAATATAATTTATGTGATATATAATTCGTTGCGCAAAATACGATATTATATTATAATCAATTAAATTCTTGTAATTTATATTCATCATTCGTAACTTGTTATAATATTGTTATCCTCGTTATAGTTAGCCCTTTCCACTCGGATGCCGCATATAATATAAATCTCGGAATTAGCGAGTGAAAAGGGTTAATAAATAAATAAAAATATAAAAATTAAATTAAAAAATATAAATAAATAGATATTTTTTAAAATAAAAACGTTGCGCAATCAAATAAGACATAAAAATCGCTATCATTGAATCTACACATGTTGAGAAACATAAGTACACTCGTATAGTTTTGCTTAGGGCAGCTGAGAGCTGAGTCATCTGTCATTTAAATGATGCGCATTTATTCGAGTTACATTTTATAACCAAATGTGATTTATAGACAAGTAATCGACAGCTATTTGAATTTTTTTGTAATTACCTTTTGTATTGCCATTCACATACCCATGGCGATCATATGTCAGAACTTCCAATTAATGATGCAAAGTATAAATACGTGTTAATTCCCAAAATAAAATTATATAACGAAAATAGTTCACAATCGCAATGTCTGAAGACGAAATTTTAACAACACTGAAGATTCTGATTATTGGCGAAAGTGGAGTAGGAAAATCTAGCCTATTGCTTAGGTTTACCGAAGACAATTTCGATGAAGATCAATCCTTAACAATTGGCGTAGATTTCAAAACGAAAAAAATCACCATTGACGGATCTGTCATAAAATTAGCTATATGGGACACTGCAGGACAGGAACGTTTCAGAACACTTACACCTAGCTATTACAGAGATGCGCAGGGAGCTATATTAGTATATGATGTTTCCAATAAGAATTCATTCAACAAAATGCAAGAATGGTTGAGCGAACTGGATACCTATAGTACGAGACCCAATCTTGTCAAAATGTTAGTGGGGAACAAAATTGATAAAGAGCCCAGGGAAGTGTCTCGTGAAGAAGGTTTGAAGTTTGCACGAAGACACAAAACATTATTCATTGAAGCAAGTGCAAAAACATGTACGGGCGTACAATGTGCTTTTGAAGAGTTAGTTCATAAAATTATCCAGACTCCTGGTTTATGGGAAGAGCTTTCTGCAGGTCGTTTACATTTAACAAACAATCAAGAACATGGGAGTGGTACATGTTCTGGTTATAATTGTACCACTATTTAACGACTGCGTGCTATTTATCATATTTGTTTTAAATATTTGTGTACTTTTACATATTAACATGCTTGTTTTTTTTTTACTTGATATTTGTATTAGTTTTAATTCAATGTACTATAAAAATTTTGTAAATAATATATGCAAATAAAAAAGTTTAGTATATATTACTAAGCTAAGACTATGAATTCTAAATTCAAAGCCTTTGCCAATATTTATTGAAGATCTGTAAAATAAATATCATTGTAAAAATGTTTTAAGAAAACTAATGTGTAATTTTTGTTCAATTAATGATTTTATCATTTATTTAGAACCTTCTAACATATCTTTGTTACAAATAATGTATCTGCCTTATTTATGGCTAACATATATACATACGTACATACATGCATATATATTATGTTATTAACCATGTGCAACATGAACTATAATTGCGTTTACATATTTTATTTCAAATCAAGTAAAATTTTCTTAATAATCTATTATGATATAAATTATATATAAAGATACTAATATTAAATCAATACTAATTATTGAGGATGCGTGCGAGTTTCAAGTTTCAAATAATTTGGATGATTTGAAAATTTCCTAAATCCTAATTTAAAAAATAACAAAAATAACTATATATATATATTTTTTTTTTATCAGTAGTAAAATATTGATTCCAAAAATGTTATAAAAATAAATAACAATTATTTCTCATTATATGATAAATTGATTTTCCAAATATAATCTCTTAAAAAAAAGACAAATTTTGACAAAATTTGTATCGTTTTGCATAAAAATTCACTTTAGATTGAAGAATTACATGTAAAAACTTCTATAAAGAAATAATTCGATAAAGACATGTTCCTGTTGCTACAGTAATATCGAAACTTGATTGACAAGATCAAAAGTGATAGACTTTCAGCAGTCTTTTAGTAATATTTCAAGACTGCTAAGAAATTAAATTCAGTATAGATGCTTAAATATTATGATTTAAATAACATTAATTTTACATTAAAAATCACAAAAAAACATTCGTCTTCACAGATAAAATATATTACTCAATACCACATATATGGTAACTTTATAAAAACCAACTCAAATGTAAAAGAAAATAATTAAAACAAAAGTAATACATGCACACATATGTGCTTCATGTAATGGGTAGTACTACTCTAGGGAAGGTTCATCAGATAAATCAACTCGATTCAGGAAAGAATGCCGAGGAAAATTTCCCATTGCCACTTCATACCGTAGTGCTCAAAATCGGCTATCTTCAAACATTTTTGATCTATATTTTCAAGTAAAATCTGATATCACTACTGCATGATAAACTCGGTTCTGGCACTGCAGTGTGAAATGGCAATAGGAAATCTCTCTGGTCATTCTTCCCAGAATCATGTAGGAGTTTAACACAGCTGATGGACCTGCCTTAGAGCTGTACTTCCCATTAAATATAACACATATATGACTTGATAAAAATAAATCAATTTTTTTTTGTCAAAAGATTAAAACTTCCTCAAAGCAATCAATGTAAGGTTGTTTAAGTATCGATGAGCCAAAAGTGTAAAACAACATCACATGAAATAAGTGAATTTGAATCCAACCTCCAATAGATATTACTAGTATATCAACTATAAACTATACCTGAACATGAATATCTAGCATTACTTAAATAAGTATTGTTTCTACTAATTTAAGAAACAGAACTGCAAGGTAATCTTGGAGAGCCCATCTGCGTCAACACACGATCTAACCATTGAAGAGGTCCATTTAAATGCAACTCTATCCAGCATGGGGTAGAAGTAACAGTTTGCCGCCTAATAAAGGTGACATATTAGAAATGTAGTAATAATAATTGGACATATTAAATCCTGAATTCAAGATACCTATACTCAGCACCCCAACCCTTTACAAAGGACATTCTGATAGTACACATTCTAGTTAAATGGTACACTGCTTCAAATCCTTGGGAAACAGATTGAGATAATAATGCAGCAAACTCTTGATTGTTAAATATTTTTAAATTGCAACCTTAAAAATGTGTGCATTCAAATCAATATTAGACCATTTATATAATTTATTATCATCAAATGTTTACCTGGCGGTATTTTACAAACTGTTGCAGGGTGCCAGCCATACCTTTGATTACAATTAGGACTCTGGACAAATATACTTGAATCACTCAAACACTCAGCAAATACTTCCCCACCTATATAATAAAGCCGAACACCTTTACCAATATGGCGTCGAGTTTGTTCCACAACTTCGTTACGGTTGACATTTGAAAGCAGGCCAAGACAAAAGCTGACAAACAAATAAATATTGGCTTATGTGCAAATAAGTGTACACATTTAAGTAGTAATATAATATACCGTTCTGAATTACTGGGATCTGTAAATCCATCAACAGTAATGGATGGTTGACTAGCATGGAAAGTTTCCCCGACTCTAATATTTAATTCATAGTAACTTATGGAACACCAAAATGCAGGCTCGTAATACATCACAGGTTGTGCATCTTGCAAGGGACTTGGGCTTAGACGAGACTGATCTAATGGAAAATAAATAGTCCAGAGGATAAATGATAGTTGAGTTCTATGGAAATTACTCTTTAGTTAGTCTTTGCAAGACTTCATTGTATTATAACAAGATTAAATATATTTATTGAATAAAGATCACGGTTTTGGTCATCTATTAAGTACACCTAAGTCTGTTTTTACACGGTCTTTTTGTACACGGTTTTGATATAACACAGTTTGAAAATTGAATATTTTTAATTTTTTTACACTATTTTATTTCATTTAGCACGATTTGAAATTTTATGTACTTAATTTTTTTTATCAAATTTAATTTTTGCGAAGTATGTTCATATCACAAAAAAGTATTTATGAAAAAAAAAGTCTGAAACCATCGATAGTATCGATAGTTTGCGAACACTAGCTTAAAGATTAAGGGGGGCGATACATGTAATCGCCTTAATTTTTACCATTTTTTGAAGACTTTTTAAACTGGGAAGGAATGACTGAATCTTTTGAACTTTTTTAGGGTTATTTATTATATATTAAAATACACAAAACAAAATTTTTTTAATTTTTTTTAAAAATGGCTGCCGTAAAAATAAATCTGCCAAGACCCTCTCGGAAAACGCCATCAATTTGCGGGCGTTCTCACTTTTCGTACGGTGATTTGAAATCAAAAAAAATTAGTTTGTACGTGTTCATAAAACATATATCTTCTAGTTAAACCAAAAAAAAATTAAAAAAGTCACAAAATCGTAAATTGGCACACCTCAGAAAAAAAGTTCGATTTTTCACCTTTTTTTCAATGTTTTTTTTTGGTAAAAGGGTTAATTTTTGAAAATTTTTTGGAATGTTTGAGGTTTAACTAGAAGCTATTACTGTAAAGTAGATATGTGCAAAATTTCATTGGAATCGGTTGAGAACTTTTTGAGTTATCCCGCCCGCAAATTTCAAAAATGTCGTTTTGAGAAAAACGCGTTTAAAGTTTTGACACATAGAAACAGATAAGAGTAAAAATAGCAGTCAAGCGTCGAGTTGAGGCGTGGCACTTAAATGAGTTTTTATTGTATAAATAATGATAATTTGTTTTGAATATTTACAGGCATATTTTTGAGATGTTATTGTAACGATTTATGAAAAAAAAAAATCGATTTTTTTTTTCTTGTACATGTATCGCCCCCCTTAAGTGAATTCCCCTTTAGCGCGTAAAAACAATTTTACTGTGCACTGCAAATGTGAAATGCACTAATTTAGGGGAATTCCCTTTATGTGCATACAATTAAAAATTTATGGTCAGAGCAATCATAGGACTTTGAGATTCTTTGTATTTAGATTACAATCATTCTATTTATTTATTTGTTACCTTAAAAATTGAATAACCTTCTTTTCGTTCACAACATAGTTTTTAGTTCCTGAACTTGCCATACATTTAATTATATTACTTTTAAGATTAGAGTGCATATCTTTTTTATCATTAATTACTATGTTTGTGAAAATAAGCATTATATATTTGATTTAATAATAAACATGAATTCTTTTTCTTAAAAATTCTTGTTTTTCACTAATTTTAATAGGTTTTAGAGATTAGGAACAAATCACCCATTTTTGAATAAGATCAATGTCTTTTTTACACATTTTTTACACGGCTTCTTCTGGAACCAATCTACCGTGTAAAAATAGACTTAGGTGTACTAAAGACTTACTAAGGTTATCATTTATGTCCATAGGATCTCCGTCTTCAGATATATATCCTGGAGGCGGTGATTCTGTGCTAGCCACAACTGGTCCAGATTCCATTATAGTAGCGTTGCAGGGAATTTGTTGTGTTAATGTTGCTTCTATGTAAGTATTACTAGCCATACAACCTTGCTGCATATGAAGCCTATCATATAAAATTAGGTAAATTTTATGAAAGTTAACTAATAGAATTTCTAAATTATTTTGGCTATGATCAATTAAAACAGTAACATTATAACACTAGATTACTAAATAACGACAAAAGCTTAACATATTTAGTATAATGAAACTGGTAATTACAGCTAAGTCTGTTTTTACACGGTCTTTTTGTACATGGTTTTGATATAACACGGTTTGAAAATTGAATATTTTTAATTTTTTTTACACGATTTTATTCCATTTAGCACGATTTGAAATTTTATGTACTTAAATTTTTTTTGTCAAATTTAATATTTGCGAAGTATGTTCATATCACAAAAAGTATTTATGAAATAAAAAAGTCTGAAACCATCGATAGTATCTAGTATTTAATTTATATTACTTTTAAGATTAGAGTGCATATCTTTTTTATCATTAATTACTATGCTTGTGAAAATAAGCATTATATATTTGATTTAATAAAATAAACATAAATTCTTGTTCTTAAAAATTCTTGTTTTTCACCAATTTTAATAGGTTTTAGAGATTAGGAACAAATCACCCATTTTTGTATAAGATCAATGTCTTTTTTTACACGTTTTTTTTACACAGCTTTTTCTTAGACTTAGGTGTATATTCTCTATGAGTTCTATAGTAACTCTTAATTTTAATTACAGAATAATTGCCAGTAATTTAAGTGTTATATATTTGAACAGAATATAAAAAACAATTATCATTATATCAAAGTCTAAAGATTCACATTTCAATTATTACTTACCCTAATGCAGTAGAATAATGCATGTTTTCTGGTACAGTATTACTTTGCTCATCGAGCGAGTAAGGAGATATTAATTTTAGACTAGCAGATTCTTCTGAGGTAAGTGAATGGCGTGGAACTAATATAGCAGGCAGTGCTGGGTTTTCTATTTTGATATAATGATAAGGATTTATACAAATTTCATCATCCTTTCTTGAATGATATGCAAATTCACAGTGTTCCAATGGTTTTAATTCATGCTGGCTCTGAAAATGTATATAATTAGAATGGTTTCTATATGTTATTTTACGAAAGTTTGAACTAACTTGAAGATCAGGCCATCGCCACAAACGGCAATACACAACATGTGGTAGCCCTTTGCGATGTGTTGCTATTCCTCCAGAATCTCCGTTTATAGGACGTATTCTAAAAAACAAGATAATATCATAATTGAAAGTAATGAATACTATGTAAAAACACTTTTTTTTTTTCAAGAAAATGGTAAGACTGTATGTCAATAATTATAAGCTAATATATGCTCACATTTGGATAAGTTTTTGATTTTGAGTTACTTAATTTTAAAACGTATGAGCTATTTGAGCCTTATGCGCTTCACTAGAAATAACAATGATATATCATTACTTAAAAACAGATACCTCATAAGATAGCAAGCAGGTATATCACATAAAATGAACGTACCTGGGAATAGTAATGCATTTCGTGTTTGGACTTTGTGTGGATAAGGCTTTTTCAAGCTCTTCCAAAAAGCCGGTCTTTTTTAATTTCTTCACCAAACTCTTGACAGCCTTTTCCGACCATTTGTCTTCGGCAAAAGAAGTGTTGCTTTCTGAACTTTTTTTCCAACCGAGCAAACGTTTAACTACTGAATGTCTAAAAGGTAACATACCAACACGGACGATAAGATTTTGTAACGCAATATTATGATTTTCGAAAGCGACCGATCAATTAAAACAATTATATAGCAAATTAAAACAAACTAAACATGACATTTGCATTTCGCTAGACTCTCAGTATTGCCAAAATAGTGTAAAAGATACTGCGTCTCAAACAATGACCAAATGTTAGTGGCATGTCACACAGACGCAAAGCCGCTGGCCGCACATGCGTTGTGCATATTAAACATTAATGGCAATAGAGAACGCGAGATACGAGATAAACATATCATAATATGATGTGAATAACTCACGATAATTACTTGACAACTTCATAACTATATCTCGAATCATTTGAATTAATACAATTCAAATTAAATTAATCCAAAATCAATATATAATGACATGTGCATTAATTACCGACAAGCCTTAATTATATCGCGTAACCTTCATTTGTTTTTTTGCATAAAGCGGAACACATACGGGTAAAATTGGTAAAATTGCTCAATACAATGCTTCCTTTCATTCAGAATGTCGATGAGAGATATGTTTCTGTCATCTCGAATTTGAAAAAAACTAGTGGGGTGGCATTGTGCCTTAAGGCAAATTGCTGGAACTTCCCGTACCGTAACGAAATGTTCGAGAAATACTGAATGTTTTCAAATAGATTATTATAAATATTGTAACATTGTCTTATATTTATAAGAATTATATAAACTGAATTGCAAAGTTGAAATTATTTGTTTGAAGTAAATTAGAACTATAGTCAGAATTGAAAATAAAATCTGAATTGTTTTCGATACACAAAAAATTAAAAAAAAAAAAAAAAATTGATACAAAAATTTTTTTTTCAGAATCAATTATTTTGTTAAGACAAGCAGAAAGTTCTTTGAATCATTCAAATCGGACGCTTAGTTCTCTCAAAAACTGCCATTTTTTACATATTTAGCTCCGTATCTTCGAAATGGCTGGGCCTGCCTTTGCCAAAATCTAATAAACACTTCTCCCAATCATTACTAATTGAATGTTTTTTAGATCATTCAAATCGGATACTCCGTCCTCTCAAAAAGTCGATTTCTATTTTCTGCACTCTTTGCTCCGTATCCTCGAAACGGCTGAACCTGCCTTTGCCAAAAACTAATCAGCTCTTTTCCCTATCGATAGGAATCGAATGTTTTTTGAACCATTCAAATCGGTTGATCCGTGCGCCCGGAAACGTGACTGGAAATTTGTATCCATACATACATACACACACACACACACATCCATTTTTTCTGAGGTATGCCAAAATGTTCAGAAACCTTCAAAACGTCGAGAAATGTAAAAAATTTCAATTCCGATTTTCGGCCCATTACAATAACTTACCCTACGGGAAGTTAATAAACTAGTGGTGCACATGACATCGTGCCTTAAGGGAAATTGTTGGAACATGGATGAATGGCTGAAAAACTTTGAAAGCTTTTTGAAAATTTCTTAAAAAATCCACTTTTTTTGAAAAATTTTAAAATGAGTATTTTTTTCTGAAAATTTTGAAAAAAAAAACTTTTTTGAAAATTTTGAAACCCATAGAAGTCGGTTGAACAACTACACTGTCTAAATTTTCGATTAGTGGAGCATGACATCAGCCGTAATTTAATTTTTTTTGAAAACTTTTTGAAAGATTTTTGAGAATTTTTGAAAAAATCCACTTTTTTGTAAAATTTGATGTTGATTAATTTTTTTCAGAAAATTTTGAAACCCATAGAAGTCGGGGCTTGACATCCTGCCTTAAGGCAAATTGCTGAAACGCTGAAACCTTCCAAACCGTAATTTAAATTTTTTTGAAAACTTTGAAAGAGTTTTGAGAAATTTTTAAAAAACACATTTTTTGATAAATTTGAAATAGATTTTTTTTTTGAAAATTTGGAAAAAAAGACTTTTTTGAAATCCATAGAAGTCGGTTAAACCACACTGTCGAGAATTTCGAGGGCATTTGTTTGAACTATATAAGTGAAATTTAAACAAATTTTGTACTTATTGTTAAAATCTACATAAAATATCTGATAATTTGATATGCATATGCCTATAATGTTCATTTTGGACCGCCAAACGGTTTTCTTAAATTTTTTTCTGGATCTCCGAAACAGACCCGCCTTTCCAAAAATGTAACCAATTTTTCATTCCGCAAATACAAGTAAAATGTTTTTTGAATCATTCAAATCGGACGATCCGTTCTCTTAAAAGCTAAATTGTCATTTTTTGCCAAAAACTAATCAGCACGTTTCTCCATCAATAGGAATCGAATGTTTTCTCCATCAATACGAATGACTTGCGCTCTCGAAATCATTGACAAGAATTTGTATCAGCTACATACTTACATACTAACACGTACATATAAACATACATCAATTTTTTCTAAATATGCAAAAATGTACAGAGACCCATTTATACTTGTTTATGTATGCAGAGACCTTAATCATTACTAAAATTTCTATAGTTCACAATAATTAGCAAATGAACAAACATACACTTATTGAGTTCTTCAAAAAGAAATCTCAACAAAATTTCATAATTTTAGTAATATAATTACTATTATTTAATTCAGATGATACACACACAATATCTTACACACAAATTTAGTGTAGATTATTTTTGTATAAATCTACAAGTTCAAAGCACTGTTACTGTTATACAAAAATATTCATAAAGAACAAATAATGGATTTATATACTTTTTAATATACACATTTTAAATTGTACATTTACAAAAATTATTTTAATTAAATTAAGAATCGTCGCTTATATTAAGAGATTAAATTATTTAAATTACATATACCTTCTTCGAATGTAGAACAAAGCCATACATTTCGTCAAGAAATTATATTATTTTCTAAAGAGATAGAGAGATTGAATTAATTTTACAAATATTTTTTTAATCTACTTATTTATACGAAATATATACATTGAGGTGATTTAGACTAATATTAAGGTAGATGCTATAAAATAGCGAAATCTTTGAATATAATTATCAATTATATACTGCTGGATATCTTGTAAGCATATTATAATAAAATGTTGGGTTTAATTTTTATCTTCAACATTTTCCTACAATACTGTTATTGTTAGAAATGCATATAGTTTATATGGACTATAATTTTTTTAATGTCATTTATACAAAAAATTATTACTAGAAGGTATTGAAATCGTTTATCAATGCTAATGCTTGAATTTTTCTGTAGATACATAATAAAATAGAACTATGAAAGAATACTTATAATTTCATATATATTTTTGTTCATTCAAAGATTATTAAAACCCTATAAAACCACAAGAAGTTGAAATAAAAACTTCAAAGTATATAATTTTTTTTAAATACATCAATTATAATAAATTGTTTTGAAGTTCCAACTTAAATCTATACGCCAGAAAATGCATTAAAAACAAATTTAAAAGTAGCACCACATGCATTATTTAGGCACTGATGATATTCAGGTAAATTTACTTCACAATAAATTAAATACATAAAGTGCCAAATTAGATAAAATATCAATTTGTACCAGGCGTTTTCAAAATTATTCAAAAAGCAAAAGAGGTATAATATAATTAACAAATAACCTCTTAGTACTATTGTTAATAAAATTTTCATCCAACATATAACATATCGTTACAAAATAAATATAATTTAAAGTCTAAAACCAAAGAATAATAATATCACTAACAATAAATAAAAAGAAAATACTGAAATTGTCTCGAGTAATACTGTAAGGACACTGCATTGAAATAATCTGTATCAGTCTTAAATATATCTATACAAAGAATAAAATCATGGTAAATATTAATCTCAAAGCATGAAAAAATTATATATATATATATATATATATATATATATATATATATTAACAAAGTCTAATAATCGGGCATAACATCAATAAAAAACATGAATTTCTTTCAAAAATTTATTTTAAATCCATACGTTTCGGCTATAATCCTAGCCTTCATTCAGTGGAAAAATTAGTTGATCTTAGTGTTAAATTGGAAAATTTTAATAATCCATGGTATTAGGATATGGTAATGCACTACACTATATATTATAAACATTAACTTGAAATTACACAATATTTTCACAAAATACTGATTTGAAAAAATCACAAATGGATAGTGTGTTATTCGTAGACTGGTTGAAGATGTAAATGTAAGATCAACTAATTTTTCCACTGAATGAAGGCTAGGATTATAGCCGAAACGTATTGATTTAAAATAAATTTTTGAAAGAAATTCATGTTTTTTATTGATGTTATGCCCGATTATTAGACTTTGTTAATACATATGTCAACATCAAATTCAGAATCATACAATATATATATATATATATATATATATATATATATACAATTCTGAATTTGATGTTGACATATGTATTAACAGAGTCTAGTAATCGGGCATAACATTAATAAAAAACAGTTTTTTATTATATATATATATACATATATATATATATATATATATATATATGTATATTATAAATAGTTGATTTTGAAGTTGAATTATATGATTAAATTTTTTAAAAACCAAGTAAAAAAGCAATTCTATGTCATCTTCAATGGGTATAAAATTTTCTATGTTGTAAATACAGATCTGTATTCTTCAAAAATGATTTTAAAAATTATTACTGGCAGTGTTGTGTTTTACATTTGTTAAAATACAAATTACATTTTGCAAACTAACGTTTTTTGACTATTATTCATAATATTCATATCCGCTGATGATGAAATAGAATTGTATGTTAAAGCATTTACAATCCTCCTTTTTTACTTCATGTTATCTCTTTCAAGAATTTATATATATATATATATATATATATATATATATATATTAAAATTGTATTAGGTCTTTTATACAAAAAGCAATGTAAGTGAAAGCATGTTAATAGTCACAATATGTCGAAATTAAAGAAAAAGTAATTTAATATTGTTCTGCAGATGTAACCAAATACATGAACATTAAGACATATTTAACCTAGGCAGATCTCGCATCAGTCAATTAAACTTCAACTATTTTATAGTAAAAAAAACACTGAAGTCAATTTTAAAATATTGCCACTCGATATATAAAAGTCATAAGTCAGCATTAAAAAAAAAATAATAATTAGAATGCTTTAATTGTGTTTAAGTAAAAATGCCCATCC